AAGGCCTCAATTCAATTATTTTCTAGAAATTTTAACTAAAATTCTTCTCTTATTCAATTATTTTTAATAGTTTTTGAGAAAGTTGCTTAAAAATTCAATTATTTCCAAAAAATTGCCCAAAAAATAAAATATTTCTAAAATCCACTTGTTTACAAGAAAATTTTATAAAATTTGGAAGAATTGGAAAATTTTTTAAATTAACATATATATTTAAAAATATAATTAATTTCAAAACAATGTGAATAAAAATGTTTCAGAAATTCGTTATAAAATTTTCCAAAAGAATTAAATTATTTTCTAAAATTTTAATAATCCTTCGAAACAATTAAATTATTTTTATCATTTTAGTAAAATTCTTTGAAAAAATTGAATTATTTTTAATAAAATTTCATTAGAATTCAATTTTTAAAAAATTTTTAATAATATTTTTGGAAAAAATTGAATTAGTTTCTAAAATTTTAATAAATTCTTCGAACAATTCAATTATTTTTACAATTATAGTAAAATTCTTTAAAAAACTTCAATTATTTTTAATAAAATGTTAATAAAATTTCTTTAGAATTCAATTTTAAAAAATTTGTAATAATATTTTTGGAAAAAATTTAATTATTTTCTAAAATTTTAATAAATTCTTCGAAACAATTCAATTATTTTCAAAATTTTCAATTAAAATTTTTGAAAAAAACTACCTTATTTTCAAAAAAACTTCAAGAAATTTTTCAAAAGAATTTAATTATTTACAAAAACTCTAATAAAATGTTTCAAAAGAATTCATTTTTCTATATCAAAAATTTTAATAAAATTAATTAATTACAATTATTAACAAAATCGATTATATTCAATAAATTAAAGAAATTTTTTAAAAGAATTCAATTATTGTCAAAATCTTTAACAGCCCGTGTGGAAAAAGCCACGTTCGAGCCCCACAGCTCCGAGGCCCCCGTTGGGGGCCCTCGTGGAAGATCCATGAGGAGAAATCCACGAGGGCACCAGCAGGGGTCCCGTTCTTTGCCCTTACGGTTGCCCTGCTCAAAAATTTATCTAAGTTTCAAAAAAAAAAAATTTTTATTAAAAAACTTTAGTTCAGATTGCATTAAATTACATTTCAAAGCACCTGAAATAAACATTAAGTGACATTTTTCCAGAAATCCTATCACAAAGTTATGGAAATTTACGAGGGCACCAGCAGGGCTCCTGCTCTTAGCCATTATGAATGCCCTGCTCAACAATTTTTCTAAGTCCAAACAACGAATATTTTTTACAACAAAAAATTATTGTTTACAATCATTTTAAACAATGAAAAACACGTTTTTAACAAATATTAAAAAAATATAAAACTTACATGAGGGCAAATCCTTGAGGGCCCACGAGAGGGGCCCTCATGGATTCCCCACATCATTAACTAGAAAAAATTTCTAAGTCAAAAAAAAAAAAATTTTTTTACATAAAAATCGATAAATAAATAATTTATGCTGCCATAAATTTATGCTGCCGATTTATGGTCGATATGGAATCCATGAGGATTTTCCTCGAGGGCACCCATGAGGGAAAGCATGTCACGCCTTCGAGGGCTCCGCGTGGATTGCCCCTACGGGTTCCACATGGCAAGAGGGCAATCCACGAGGGCCCCGCCGGGGGCCCTCACCATTTTTCTGCACGGGAGTGTCTATTCATCGAAAGAATTAAATTATTTTCTATATATTATTTTAATAAAATTCCTTAAATGAATTTGAATTACATATTTTAAAAAATTGTAACAAAATTCTAAAAAGAATTTAATTAATTCCTAAAAATTTTAATAAAATTTAATAATTGAATGTTTAATTATTGTTGTTTATAAAATTCAATTACTTTCAAAATTTTCAATTAAAATTATTAAAGAATCTTTATTATTTTGAAAAAAATTCAAAGAAATAATACTTGAAAAGAATTTAATTAGGATTTTCAAAAATTTTTTGCAAGAATTCAGTTATTTTTATAAATTATTAAATTTTTTGAAAATAATTGAATTCTTTTAAAGAATTTTATTAAAGTTGAATTTTTAAAAATCTTGTACCTGAAATTAAACAAAAATTGAATATTTTTGAAAATAAAAAATTTTCTAATTTACATAATTATTTATATAATTCTTCTAGTTATTCCTATATTATTTATAAAAATTGAAAGCGCAACTATAAAATTTAATTATTTTTTCAATTTTAAATAAAATTATTGGCAAATTATTTTATAATAAATTCAATTTCAAATCTGTAAAGTTCAATTATTGTTAAAAATAAAAAGAGATTAAAATTAAATTAAGGGCATTTGAACCATTATGACGTCACAATTTTGAAACTCATGCTTTGCACACATTGTGACGTCATAATGGTTCAAATGCCCTTAAATATTTTTTTGTCTAAAGGCTGTTGCGTTGGACAATAAAATTCAGAATTTTCTTTCGAAATCTAGAAAAATTTAATATATTTCCAGTATTTTCGATAAAACTTCCTGACTTTTCCCTCAATTCCCTTATTTTCCTGATCTATGATAAACCTGAATATGTATTTTAAATATGTTTTTACAAAATAAAACGTTTTTATGAAAGAACATTCAATCTTTTTTAATGAAATATAATTAATAAGTTCCGAAATAAATATTTCTATTTTTTCTCACAAAGTAACTAGTGTTTTTATTTAAAAAACACTTTTTAATAAAAAAAATTCAAAATTCAATATGGAGTCGCTATTCTCCACCTGCGAACGTCAAGGTCACCGCTAGATGGCAGTCCAGGTCTTTCTTGGAATTTTTCTTGCCACCTAGTGGTGACCTTGGCGTTCTCAAGTGGAGAAATTAAACCACCATTTTATACCTCAAGATCTTTTTTATAGTTAAAAAATAAAATGCAAAAAATGCTATTTTGAGAATAATTTAAATTGTTTTAAATTGCTGTTCAAAAAACTTTAGCGGGAAATTAAAAGAATAAAAATTGACTTAAGGCTATTTTCTTAAATTAAATTGAGAAAATAAATAACTTAAGACCAAATTCATTTCAAATCAGGCAGGATAAACATGTTAGGTAGTGAAACACATTTTCGCCTTTAAAATATTGTTTTATAAAGAATTTTAGACGACACGTATTTTTTTATTTTGCTAAAAAAATTTTATTTCAAAGTTATAAGGATTTGAAGTTTGAATAACGGAAACTTCTTTTCTTGAAAAATTAGGGGATAAAATGTTTAAAGTGTTGTAACTTTTGAACTAATTAGGATAATTTATTATGTCTTTTTGCATCTAAAAGGGTATTTGCTCGACTTTCCAAATCCGTTGGAAAATTTAAAAAATACTAAAAAATAACAAAATGGCGGCCATTTTTCAAAAAAATTTTAAATTGAATTTACTCAAAAACCCCACCTTTTTTTTGCTCAAAGTTATTTTGTGAATTGTGTTCATTGGGAAGAATATTTTCCATAAGAATTTAATTTGTGCCCGATTCTGGTAGAAGAGAAAAAAATTTTTTTCAATTTTTTTAAAGAAAAACATCATTTTTCTTAAAAAATACATTAGATATTCAAAACTTTCCTAAATAAAAATTGTTCTTCTTTAAAAAACGTATTTTTTCCATAAAAATATGTAAATAATTAACAAACTCTGCTGTCACAGAGGTTAAAATTGTTGACATTTTGTTTATTTAACCAAGTAATAGCGAATATAAATTTTAGGAAATTTAAAAAATATTTGTGACGCGCTGCCAAGAAAGGTACCTAAGAAGCAAAATTACAGGTTATGTTTGTTTTACATTTATCTCGGTTAAAACTTTCTTTTTAATTATTTTAATTTAAAACCAGTTTTTATTAAATATTTTTGATGTAATAAAAATTGAACACCAATAATTTGTTATAGTGATTGATTCTCTTTCTATATTTTTACTCAAAAAATTGTGAACATAACCTAAAATTTTTTTATTCTTAGGGAGCTTTCTTGGTATGGCGTCACATATACTATTTTTGAAAAAACAAATGGTATGGTAAACTATTCTTGTATGGGAGTGTCTGTCATCATTATTTTTTTTAACTTTAAAAAAATAATAATAACATTTCCATATAAAATTAATACAACTATAACATTTGCTTTTTCAAAAAGAATATATGATTCTTCAACTTCCTATAATATATATATATATTACTCGCCAATATTTGGTCGATCAAACAATATGTCAACAATTTTAACCTCTGTGACAGCACAGATTATTATAATTATTTACATGTTTCTATGGAAACAAACAAGTTTTTTGAACTGATTCATGAAAAAGTCGTTCAATGATATTAAGAAAGCAATAAATGAGAACATATAATCAATTTTTTGCAAAATTCATTGAAACAATGCAAGATAGATAAAAATGACAACAGACATTTTTTTAGATTTTTTAAAGAGGAGCAATTTTTATTTAAGAAAGTTTTGAATATCTAATGTATTTTTTGAGAAAAATGATGTTTTTCTTTAAAAAAATTGAAAAAATTTTTTTTCTCTTCTACCAGAATCGGGCACAACTTTAATTCTTATGGAAAATATTCTTCCCTATGAACACAATACACAAAAAAAATTTGAGCAAAAAAAAAGGTGGGGTTTTTGAGTAAATTCAATTAAAAGTTTTTTTGAAAAATGGCCGCCATTTTGTTATTTTTTAGTATATTTTAAATTTACCAACGGATTTGGAAAGTCGAGCAAATACCATTTTAGATGCAAAAAGACAAAATAAATTATCCTAATTAGTTCAAAAGTTACAACACTTTAAACATTTTATCCCCCAATTTTTCAAGAAAAGAAGTTTCCGTTATTCAAACTTCAAATCCTTGTAACTTTGAAATAAAAATTTTTAGCAAAAGAAAAAAATACGTGTCGTCTAAAATTCTTTATAAAACAATATTTTGAAGGCGAAAATGAGTTTTACTACCTAACATGTTTAGCCTGCCTGATTTGAAATGAATTTGGTCTTAAGCTAAAAAGAGAGAGAAAATACTCACATATTCGAATCGATCTTTGCAAAGTTGACTGAGAAGACTGAGAAATCCGAGAGCAGTGAACCAGGCGCACCAGAGAACGACCTCGTCCATATATTGAACGTTAAGTACTCCAAAAACGAAGATGAATTTATAGAAGATGAAATTCCAAAATTTGTCCTTTAAATGTTGCCTCTCGGAAACTCGAAGTTCGCCAAATACGAGTTTCTGAATTGATTTTCCCAGTAGAATTAGGACACAATAGGCCATGTTTATCAGTGTCTGTAATAAAACAGCAGAAAGAAATATCATAAATGAAAAATTATTAAATTTCTATTTCTTATTTGCAAAATACTCTTTTAGGAAAATATTTTATTTAAAAATTGAATTACTTAATCAGGGTTGCTCAAAAAATTCAATTTTGTTTTTCCCTGATTTCCAGACAAAATTTTATCTTTTTCCCTGACCCTAAAGAATATTCTGATTTACTCTCAAAATTATTAGATACTCAAAAAATTGTTCTATTACATTTATTTAGGTACAAATTTCTTCAAAAGTAAAATTATTCGAAAACATCAATAACTTCTTTTTTAAATAAATATTTAATGATTATTATTTTTCCATAGGAATTAAGATTTTCAAATTTAAATCTTTTAAAATTCAATAACTTTTAAGAATATTATTATAAAACATGAAGATGTCGAGCACTCCGAGTCTTCGATACATTCATTCATCATTCAATATCATAATTTCGTATTTTAAAAGAAAAGATTAAATTAAAATTTAAAATCCTTTTGGTAGAAGCGTAAGGAATATAATTTTCTACATTTTAAACATTTTAAAGTTATATTTGAATAAAAATTATAATTTTTTGGCAATAATAAATGATTTTATTAACATAACTAGCTTCACGCACCTTCGCACCGTTTTACCTTTTAACTCCAACATCAACAATTGCTACTGTATCTCCAATTTTTTTTATTTGTAATCATATTAACCAGATGTATCTATCTATGAAACCCGACATAGACTTGTTTTTTTCGTCTATTAAAGAATTCACTAGTTCTATGGATTGTTACATTAAAGGTCTCATAGATGATTAATTGTTACACGACGGCCAAATAAACTTTTGGATTATATTTGAAAATTATCATAGAATGCGCAAAATCTTATATTGTTTAAAAAAAAAAAAAATTTATACATATATTTATGCTTATATTGTTTATTCTTTTTAAGAGATATATGTATATTTATGTATGGTTTTCACGATAAGATTGTACGAATTCTCGTTACCCATTTATGATCCACTTTGGATCGCGGGATCCCATGTTGTAAATAAATAAAATAAATAAATAAAATAAATAACCTAAAATTTAACAAATGTTTCTTATTAGCAGAAAATTGTAATTTTTATTCAAATGCATTTTTCAATCGTTTTAAATCTTGAAAATTAAATTCTTCGCCTTTCCACCAAGACGAATTTAAAATTTAATTTGTGTTTTTCTTTTAAATTACGATATTATGATATTGGACTAACTTTTGATTTGACTATTCGTCTGATTCTTCCTTAACTAAAATTTTTCTTTAAATCAATTATTTTTAATAATTTTTGAAAAAGTTTTTTAATAATTTTCAAATCCATTTGTTTACATTTGTTTACAATACAATTTTGTTTATTTGGAAATTCTTCAATTAATTATATAGTAGAAAATAAAAACATGAAATAATTTTTCAAAAAATTTGAGTCAAACTTTTTCAAAAAAATTAATTCTGCAGAATTGTTAGTTAAATCTATGAAAAATTCAGATTTTTCAAGATTTAAATTTGAAACCTTTTCAAAATTAAATTATTTCTAAAAAATTCTACTAGAATTCAATTACAGGCAAACCTCGCTACGGCGGAAAGCAATTAGACGATTCCGCCGTAGAGAGGTTCGTTAAAATGCTATTAGTGAGTGAACGTTCAGGGATGTATCAACCATTTTAAATCATATGATCTTTAAATATAAATTTAAATTGAATATGAATTTTAATTTATTTAAAAATATGTATTAAAAATCATTGAATTCTTGAAAAGAATTTTGTCAAAAAATTTGAGAATAATTGAATCCCTTCGCAGAATTTTATTATTTATGAAAATAATCGAATTCTCGCGAAAAATGTAATGAAAATTTATAAAAATCTTAATTAAATTCTTCTGAAGAATATCTTTAAACTTTTTTAAAATAATGGAGTTTCTTTAATAGTTATAATTGAAAATGTTGAAAGTAATTGAATTATACAAAGAATTTTTTTAACTTTTTAAAATAATCGTGTCTGTTAATAGGTGGGTAAGAATTCCTGAAGTGGGCCCCTATTTTTCATTGGGTCGGTGGATTTTTCTCATTCTTATATGTTTCGATAGCCTATGATGGCATAATAAAAACTTGTAAATAGTTTTCCGAAATTCGAATATTTGCCAAAGTTATTCAAGGTCAAAGTTATTTGTAGCGTTTTAGTAAATAGCTAATTACTCGCGATCGGATGAACCGATTTTAATAAAAATTGGAGGAGAGTTTACCTAAAGAATTGTACTTTAGATAAATGATCAAAATTTTAATTAAAAAATATAATTTGTTTAAATAAATTAACTTTTTAATTTTTAGGGTTAAAAAAAAATTTGTTCTCCATCTTTTTTTTGGATTTTTTTTAAATAATCAAATAGAGAATACTTGTAAGATTTTGTTTCAACAATAAAAAAGTGGGATTCTCTATCACTTTAGAAAATATAATATTTTTAGTTACAAAATTTTTTGAAAAGTTAAAGAAATTTGAAGCAAAACAAATGAATGAACTAAACTTGGTTGGTTAAAATTGTCGAGTTTAGTTCATTCATTTGTTTTGCTTCAAATTTCTTTAACTTTCCAAAAAAATTTGTAACTAAAAATATTATATTTTCTAAAGTGATAGAGAATCCCACTTTTTTATTGTTAAAATAAAATCTTAAAAGTATTCTCTATTTGATTATTAAAAAAAAATCCAAAAAAAAGATGGAGAACAAATTTTTTTTTAACCCCAAAAATTGAAAAGTTAATTTATTTAAACAAATTTTATTTTTTAATTAAAATTTTGATCATTTATCTAAAGTACAATTCTTCAGGTAAACTCTTCTCCAATTTTTATTAAAATCGGTTCATCCAATCGCGAGTAATTAGCTATTTACTAAAACGCTACAAATTACTTTGACCTTGAATAACTTTGGCAAATATTCGAATTTCGGAAAACTATTTACAGGTTTTTATTATACCATCATAGGCTATCGAAACATATAAGAATGAGAAAAATCCACCAACCCAATGAAAAATAGGGGCCCACTTCAGGAATTCTTACCCAGGTAGTTTTAAATATTTGATTTTTAAAGTTTATTAAAATTGTATTGAAAATAATTGAATTTTTCAGGAGAATTTTATTATTTATAAAAAATAATTTAATTTTTGCGATGCATTTTAAATATAATTATTTTTTTAAAATTACTTTGATTTGTTATTCTATCTATTTTATTATTTTTCATGTTTATTTTTTATAATATATAAAATATATCACAAAATAAACAAAAATTATAAATCAAATATAAATTAAATAATTTAAATAAAAAAACATCCACAATTCGAAACTTTTCGGCCCTGAATTTCATGGCACACACACAGTCACAACTCTCACTGATATAATCCCTTCTACACTCGATTCTCGTTATAACGACGATCTCGGGACTTCAAAATCTCGATATTACGACGAAAGGAGAGGATCCTACTTCACGTTCTATTCAAACGTCAAATACGTGCTAAATTTTTCGTAAAGTATGTTTATTTATATTAAAAGTTTTTGAATTATGAAATCAGTTTAAAGAAAAAGTAAGTATTTTTAATAATAATCGGATCACTAGATTCTTTAGGTTAAATAAATTTAAGAGTCGATTAAATTTGTCGTTTTTTTTTGAGTTAACCAAAATTTTGGTTAAATTGAATTCTTAAATTCGTTCGTGTTTTTTTTTGTCGTTGTATCGAGAGTTTTAATGTTCGTTATAACGAGAGAACGTTGTAACGAGATTCGTTATAACAAGAATCGAGTGTACTTCTACCTGGCGAGTTTCCGCCGTAGCGAGGTTTGCCTGTACTCCAAATTTTGCCAAAAACTATTAACCCTTTACAAACGCGTGCACAACTCAACGGTACCGGAAGCCTATTAATTTAGTTGTTTATTTATTTATAAACGGTACAAGCCGTTTTGTACATAATAAGTACTTTTAAAACGAAACTTTACAATAGAATTTGAGAAAAATATGTAAATAATATTAAATGTGAGCTAAGGCTGATAGTTAGAGGCCAAGCCTACAACGCTGAAGGTTCCGAGTTCGATTCCCAGGAGAGGCAGAAATTTTAATTTTAGATTAATAAATAATTTGAATTCGATATTTGAATTTATAATATTATTTAAAGAATATTTATTTGTAAATAAATAAAAAGTATAAAAATATTATTGTTATTATTAATTATTTAATTTAATAATAAAATAATAATTAAATATTTAGAAATATTGTTAAATTTCAAGGTATCTGTATGCAGATTTCCTAAAAGTTAATATGAAATAAAAAAAATTGTAATAATAAAATACTAAAAATGAAAATAGTAGGTATAATATTCGAGAGAAATTTTTATTGAGAATTAAACACAATTGAATTAGTAATTGTTAGTTGCAAATTGACTCTCATTTCTTCTTGTATACGTCTCAAGAGGAATAATTATTTTTTTAACAAAGTGCCAGACAGTGTCAATATATATGACAAAGAATTAAAAAGAAACTAAAGTGTAAAAACATTAATATATGTATGACAAGTGAATAATATTGTCAATTATGTCGGAAAGGAAATTTTTGTGAAACGTCTTAAACTGACTTGACAACAACTTTGGGTCTTATTTCACTGGACAAAGGAGACTCTGAGTTTTAGGCGGTTCGAGGACCATATGATAACCATATGGTCTAGGATAGTCGGGGACGGCAAGGCGCAGGAATTTGGCGAGTCCTATGGAAAGATCGGTTTTCCAAGGGATGGCTTGGGCAGTTGCCGTTTTGGGTCCAAAGTGTCAAGATGCACTTTTATCTGCTTGAGAACGCGGCATTACGGAAAATATGATTTAATTGTTAGCGATTCATGTATCCTGATTCGAGCTTCGTGGAATAAATTCTTTATTTATTTAAAAGCTGTGTTTGATTTATTTATTAAATCGGTATTATTATTATTATTAT